TTTTATATTTTCCATTTATATATTTTGAGATTTTATTTTATATTTTCCATTTATATATTTTGATATTTTCTTTTTATATTTTCCATTTATATATTTTGAGATTTTATTTTATATTTTCCATTTATATATTTTGAGATTTTATTTTTATATTTTCTATTTATATATTTTGATATTTTCTTTCTATATTTTCTATTTATAGATTTTGACATTTTCTTTTTATGTTTTCTATTTATAGATTTCTATTTTACATTTTTCTATTTTATATTCAGAGTTTATATTTTTCTATTACAGTTTATTCACTAAATCCCCATGAACACCCTCAAAGCAAAGGTGAGTTGTCTTCATCAGCCCCTCTGCACTTCTTCAGGCAGAGGGAAATGTTAATTTTGATAGGAGAAACTGGATTTTTCCAACAGAAGCTCCCAACCCAGCAATTAAATCCAACCCTTTTTAAGAGCAACTGAAATTCCCAGGTCCTGCCTGGGATTTTTCTAATGAATTTGAGGTTACATTTTACATATATATATATATATAAAATATACATATAATTTATTTATATATTATTTATATATATATTTGTATATGAATATATATAAAGGAATCAGTATCAGGCATTAGAGCATCAATATATAAAAGGTATATAATATAGATATAGATGTTATTTTGATATATATATATACATAAAGCAATCAATATCAAGTGATAGAGCATCAATATTGAAAGAATATATTATATAGATAGATATAGATGTTATTTATATATATAAATATATATAAAGGAATCAACATCAAGCATTAAAGCATCAATATATAAAGGTTATATTATATATAGATATTATTTATCTATATATTACTTTTATTACTTTTCTTATTTATATATTAAACATATATATATATTTATGTATAAATATATATAAAGGAATCAGTGTCAAGCATTAGAGCATCAATATATAAAGGTATAAAGATATTATTTATCTATATATTACTTTTATTACTTTTCTTATATATTAATCATATATATATTTATGTATAAATATATATAAAGGAATCAGTATCAAGCATTAGATCATCAATATATAAAAGATATATATTATAGATATAGGTGTTATTTTTATATATATAAAGGAATCAATATCAAGCATTAAAGCAGCAATAGATAAAGGATATATTATATAGATTTACATATTATTTGTATATGTATTATTATATGAAATAAATATAAAATAATCAATATCAAGCATTGAAGTATCAATATATAAAGGAGATATATATAAATGTTATATGTTATATATCAAACCAACTGGGAAAGCCCTTGTATTTCTTAATAATTTCTTACTAATCTAAGCCCAGTGCAGAGGGTTTCTTTGGCCAGGTTTCGGTAGTGGGGGGGTTACAGGGGTGGCTTCTCCTAGAAGCTGCTGGAAGCTTCTCCTGCCTGGTGGAGCCAATTCCAGCTGCTCCAGGAGCCAATTCCAGCTGCTCCAGGACTGACTGCCTGCCACTGGCCAAGGCTGAGCCCATCAGGAATGACAGCAACACCTCTGGGATAACATATGGAAGAACAGAAAGGTATTGAGCAGAAAGAATTCCAGCCAGGGAGGAGTGGAGGGAGAACGTGGGAACAAGGATGCAGCCCCCGAGGGCAGTGCAGGAGGAGGGGCAGGAGGAGCTCCAGGAGCCAGAGCTGAGGTTCCCCTGCAGCCCGTGGGGAAGGGCCCAGGGAGGCAGCTGTGCCCCTGTGCCCATGGGGGACCATCGGGGTGCAGAGACCCCCCTGCAGCCCATGGGGGAGCCCAGGCTGGAGCAGGGGGGGATCTGAAGGAGGCTGTGACCCCGTGGGAGGCCCCAGATGGAGCAGGGTCCTGGCAGGGACCTGCAGCCCGTGCAGAGGAGCCCAGGCTGGAGCAGGTTTGTCCCAGGTGGGACTTTGGCCCCTTTGGGGGACCCACGGTGGAGCAGCTCATTCCTGAAGGACTGACCCCAGGGAGGAGTGACCCACAGGACAGAGCTTGGGAAGAGCTGTTGCCCATGGGATGGGCTCACCCTGGAGAGCTCCATCCAGGACTGTCTCCCATGGGATGGGCTCACCCTGGAGAGCTCCATCCAGGACTGTGTCCCATGGGATGGACTCACCCTGGAGAGCTCCATCCAGGACTGTCTCTGTGGGATGGACTCACCCTGGAGAGCTCCATCCAGGACTGTCCCATGGGATGGACTCACCCTGGAGAGCTCCATCCAGGACTGTCTCCCATGGGATGGACCCCACGGCAGCAGGGGAAGGACTCCAACTCCTCTCCCTGAGCAGCAGCAGAAACAACAACTGCCCGTGACCCCCATTCCCATCTCCTGCACTGCTGGGGGAGGAGCTTGAGTTCCGAAGGAAGGAGAGGTGGGGGGAAGGTGTTTTTAGGATTATTTTACTTCTCACTCTTTCACTCTGATCCTGTTTGTAATAAATTCAATCAATATCCCCACTCTGGGTTTGTTTTGCCCATGATGGTGATCAGTCACTGACCTCTCCCAGCTCTTATCTCAACTCCTGAGTCCTTCACTGTTGGTTTTTCTCTCTCCTCTGTCCAGTTGCAGAGGGAGAATGAGGGAGTGGCTGTAGTGGGTACCTGGCATCTGGCCAGGGTCAACCCACTACACCTGGTAATCATTTTTCCTCCAAAGCTGAGTTTATGTTGGTGTGGAGAACATTTCACTTGCATTTTTGTTTACCTGCTGTCCAAGCTCTCGAGTGTCATGTTCCTCCTTTTGGTTGATCCCAAGGCAGGAGAAGCACTTCCAATTCCTGATAACACTTTTTTTTCCGTGTTAATGCCCCTGAATCTCCATTAATTCTGATTCCACAATTCAGAGTGGATTTGGAAGTGGAAATTTGACACATTAGAGGGTGGGAATTATCCCTGGTGACAGAAATCTGAGCTCGTTTGTGTTTCACAGCTTGGTGGACAAATCAAATCTTCAGTGGGCACAGCTGAGGAAATGAAATAATCCTAATCCTGCCTCTGTGGGTTGGGATTTTCTCCCTGTGGATTTCAGCAGCTTCATTCCTGCCATGGGGAATAACCCATACATAATAGGAGTTTTGTCCCCTCTGAATGGAGGGAATGGCCCAAAATTCCCCTTCTAAACCCCCTGTCTGGAGGCAGAGGTGTCACCCCTCGAGGAGCTGCAGGGCAGGTGCTCAACACACCAACAAAACCCTGGAAAGCAGGTTGGAAGCAAACAGATTTGCTCTGAAGTCCTGGATCTCTTCCAATTTGGACTTCCAAGGTAATTTTCCCCTTTGGAAGCAAACAGATTTGCCCTAAAGTCCTGGATCTCTTCCAGTTTGGACTTCCAAGGTAATTTTCCCCTTTGCTTACAACTCCCTTGCGGAAGGAAACGAAGCTGTTTTCTCTTGGCATCATCACAGGTAAAATTAACTCAACAGTGGAGATCTTGCTCCACCAGAGGTGGGATCTCAGCCCCCAGAATAATCCCCTTGTCATCCCAGGAGGAAGGACCAGCATGTTGGGAAGGATTCAGCCATGGAAAACAGGCAAGTTGGCTGTTTTACATACAATTTAAATCCATCCTCTCCCCACTCCCTCTCCACCAATTCATGGCTGAGCTGAGAACATGGAGAAGCAACACCAGGCAGGATTTAAATCCAGAAAGGGGTTTAAAACCACACAAAGTCATGGTGATGATTCAGGATACACCAATTTTCCTCCCTGAGACCCTCCAGCCCACCCCAAGGGTCTCACCGTCTTCAGTAGTGTCCGGTTGTCCCGGAGACTCCCCACCATTCCCACAAAGGACACCAGGAACATGGTGACTCCCAGCAGAAGCAGGATCACAGCTGGAGCCAGGAAAATCCCTTCCAGGGTCTTGTGCTTCTGCCTCTCCACCTCAGCATAAATCCCAATGCACAGGATCACCAGGCCCAGGATCTGCACGGGAGGCACGGAACGGGATTCATTCCCAAGGGGAAAAAGAAAAGGTTTGATGGGAGAGGTGAAGGTGGGAGATGTCCAAGGACAACCCAGAGAGCTTCAGGATGTTCAGCATCCAATCCCAAACCCACAGAGCTTTGGGATGTTCAACATCAAATCCCCTCTTCCCACCCTCCACCCCCAATTAAACCTGAGCTCAGAGCAGCACCCACAGCTAAACCCGAGCTCAGAGCAGCACCCCCAACTAAACCCGAGCTCAGAGCAGCACCCACAACTAAACCCGAGCTCAGAGTAAACCCGAGCTCAGAGCAGCACCCCCAACTAAACCCGAGCTCAGAG